ATGGGAGCTGCGGGAAGTAGCTCCCATTGGCTGGGAATGGCGAACCGCGGCCACAGGGAGCTGAGGGGCTCCATGCCTGCAGACGCTCCAGGTAAACAAAACGACAATGTATTAGATATTCAATTCAATGATTCCATAGAGTTTAAAATCATCAAATTTTGATGTAGACCCGTTTATAAGCCGACCCCCGCTCTTTGATGCGTCACTTTTTTACCAAAAATATTCAGCTTATGAATGACTATATACGGTACTTAATGATTGATTGATTAAGTAATGTGCTCTTTAAACATATAAAAACACGGCACTGAACCCTCAATTTAACTGTCTTGGAAGAATGAAGTGTTGAGGTGACCCTGCTGAGATTTGAACCTATAGTTTCACATAGCATAATTTTTAAAATGTTGAGGACAAAAGCGTAATGATGCCCATTATTCAGCAATGTGAATGTTGGAAAAATCCACACAGGATAGCATTTTCCTTTTTCGTTTGTGACTTCAGGTTTTCTAGAAGAAACAAATGAGGTTTTATTTAAATTATGTGATAATCATTCTACCAGGGAAGGAGTCTTTTAAACAGGATATAATATAGTTGAGGATATGTTAATGCTTACTGCTTCTGATAATAAATTACATTTCAGGCTTTGTATTTTTATTTCTTATCTGTTCAGAAAAAAAGTTGAATAATCAGAGCTCAGGGAATTTCAAATGTTGGCAGTGTAATGCTGGATAAAACATTTTTATCAGGCCTTTTGAAATAAAACTCCAAACACTCCCCCAGAGACTTACTATACAACCAATAAAGTCACAGTACCCAAGACATATTGTAATATATATGAAAGAAAAGGGTTGTACTTTTTCACTTACTCAGGTTTACAGTAATCTTAAACATATCTTCTTAATCGGTTTCATACATCCAGGTCACCAGATCAGCCAATTATGTGACTTTTTTTTTTGCAAGGAGTCTTGTTACTGTAAACTGAAATATACAGGACCTGAAACTGTAAGATGCTAAGTGACTTCTGTGAAATGGTGAGTGCCCTTATCTCTCATTGATCTAGCTCTGTGATGATCTTTGAAGGTGCACGCATCCCTTCATCGGTGTATAAATTATCAAGGAACATGGGCTAGACTGTGACTTGGACTTACAGGCCCACATGTGGGGCCAAGAGGGCAGGGAAAAGGGTGGAAACTTGGTTTACCCCAACTTGCCAGCCAGTACTGCCCAGCTAGCAGAAGGATGGGGGAGGGAGAGGTGTGCATATGGAGGGGAGTAATGAATTACAGCTGTTTAGGTCAGCAGCAAATTACTACATGCCTGGAAGCAGGAGGATGCATGGAACGAATCGTGCCACAGCATCCCATGCTCAGGGCTGTACTTAAAGGCACAATATTCCCATACAACTTTTTCTCCCTTTTTCTTTTGCAAAGGGATAAACCAGCTGTGTGAAATTATCTAATGAGAATGATTCCAACTAGGGGGCATCCTCCAACACCACCCTATCTCCCTCCTCCACTCAGAACTTCCATTTGCCTTTATTATCCATAATAACCATGGAGTCCCTGGTTGGAACTTGTCTTGTCCTCCTCCCACACTGCCAGTCGTCCAGATTCCAGCGTGTGCACGATGCTACCTTTGACCTTATACATATAAAGAAGTGCAGCCACATCATGCACATCCTAAATCACCAGCTCTTCTCTCCATTCATTCCAATTCAAAATTGTTTCCTTGTTCATAAAACCCTCCACAGATTTGCTTCAGCCTCTCTCAAGGAACTTGTTTCTCAGTACTCCTCGTCCCTGCCACCTCAGCACTGGCCTCTGTCATTCCACACACTGTTGCTATAGTTGGTCCTAGAGACCCTACCCTGCATCTCCTGCTCTGAAACAGCTTTCAGTATCCCTTCACTTCAAGCACTCTCCCTTTGATGTCAAATCTCACCTGAAAGTACAGCTTTTCTCTTTTAACTTCCTCCCTTTATTTCTGTCTCTCTTCTCCTATCCGATTATAAAACTCTGTAATTGTATTAAGATTACCTCTCTGCAAAGCATTTTTGGGAAGAAGTTTGTAGAAAAGCTGTTGTACAAATAAATATATTCTTTTTATCTTTCAGATATCATTTTATTTCCTGTGTGTATATTTTCCAAATAGCTAATAACCTTGTTTCAATTTTTTTTAAAGTGAAATCCCTTCAATGACTTACAGTAATTCTTATTGACCATAATAAGTAATGGGAATAATGTTTTAACTCCTGTACAGAAAAGGAAAATGCTTAGCAAAAACAGAATAATGGTGTAATATAGATATTGATAGAGGCAGAGCAGAGGTTAATGTAAATGAGGGGAATGGCCCAGTTTGCTGAGGCTCAGAAGCCGACAGCAGTCACTATCTGACATTTGTGCACATATTTCTTGAAATAAACTATATTCTCTTTTACATTTTTCAAATGCAAAAGAGAAGTAGATGTAATGAAATTCATCATGTCTCTTTGGCAAAATAATATCCTCATGTGAGGATTGCGCAATAACCCTTAGTAAAAGAAAATTAGGGCTTTTGCCTTCTAAATGAGCCAATATTACAGATTTACTTGCAGCCAAATGCCTTCTACCCATTTCTATTCAGAGATAATGAGAAAATACCTACGTTCCATGGCCCTTATTCACAGCAATGCATTGTGTGGTCATTGTTACAGTACACTTCCTAGGATCTCCTAAAATCTTATAATAAATCAATACAGATTGAAAGGTGTTGAAAAGTTTTTTGTGACAGCAACAGTGCAACAAGACATAGCAGTAGGGCAGTGTGCTGTAATGGAGAATACATTGAGTTGTCTCATGTTCAAGTGAGGCAACATGAACCTTTAATAATCTCCAAGTAATCTGCATTAATACAGACTTACTGCAGTGTACTGCGGTATCAGGAAACATTTCACTGTAGCATCATGATGCAATGCAACCTGATCGCATCTGTTATTTCCCAGATAATGAAGAATGTACTATAATGCCTGTACCCTATGCAGTTAAACTTTCTATTTATAATGTAATACTACAGAATAATTCTCTCTCAACATGGTGGGATAAACTATCACATTATTAAAAATGTGGGATGAAATATCTCATAACTAAAAAAACACCAGAACTATTCTTTTTCTGGGTTAGACACGCCACCCACCATCAGTCTGAATCCAGAAAAAAAACTAGATCAACTAAAAATGGATTTCCACAATCTTAAGAGTCTACTAAGGAGTTATACAACAATTTAGTGATAAATAAGCCGAATTTCATAGATCATTTTACCCATACTTACTCAAGGAATCACAATTAGGTTTCTCTCTATAAACTCAGCTGGTCTCGTAGTGTATTTTAAATCTAGGCACACACTTGTATCCACAGCTTTTGTTATATAAAAGCATAAAGAGCACTGCAATTTGATTTATATAAAGTGCATTTGATTATTAATAAAAAGTTTGTAAAATATTTCTCTGAATTGTGCGTGTAAGCCACATAAAATGAACACTATTTTCTTTACCAATGAATTCTAACTTTTTAGGATTATACTTGTAAATATTATTGCATAATATTACCAAAATATACATGTATTTTTTCATTGGGTATTTTTACAATGTAATAAGAGATTTGTATTGTATTTGTGCATAATTTCTGAAAGATAATTCTTAAAGTATTATGCCTTCAGTTACAAATACTGAAACATAGTTGTTATATACATTAACAGTATATAGGATCCATTTGGTTTCTTCATCCCAACATAACAGTGTGCAATGAAGATCACTGGAGGTGACATTTGCTGCAGCATATTGCAGTTTACTGCAGGAAGCCAGCATATATGGTATTCTGATATAATTGATTTTGCTGCAGCACCCCACAGCACCAGGGAACTTCCCAACAGGCTTTCATATATAAAATGTTTTAGCTAACTATGTAAATTATACCTCTCTTACAATATACGCTGCATGTATTTTATAACATAAAAAACGGTATTCTGTATGACTGACAGCTACACAATCTCTTCAGTACTCAGTCAGTTATTGCACTAAACCAGGCAACAGAAATAAACCTCTCTGCAAAAGAGGAGGTATCAAAATGCAGTAATATACATATCAATTATTCATTTACAATATTTTTTTCAATTCCTTGTATATCGTTATCGATCCTTCAGGAAACTGGTTTTGACTTGTGTCCCTGTTTGTATTTGCTATTTAAAGGGTACCCTGCACAGCAAACCTTGTAGCAGTGAAAAGAATACCAGACCCTTAGTGAGGCTCTCCCCTCTCCCCCCAACATTTGCTTAAAACAGAATTGACTCTGAACCCAAATAAAAGTTCTTGGGACTGCAGCTCACCCACCAGCACTCTTGAAACCTGCAAACACAGAGTGGGCAAGTGCAGACAAGCTATTTTTTTGTTTTAGGATGACACCAAGATAAATCTGCCCCTAACAAAAGGAACTTCTTTTAACGCGTGCCGAAGGCAGAGAGTGGGACAAGCGTTAGTAGTGGACTTGCCTAGAGCAAGCGAAGGGGGGAGAGGAATGAAGGGCAATATGCTACTTCACCGTGTTACTTTCTTGCTTGTGGTTCTGTTTCCCAGCGTCTTGTCTCCTCTTCTGAAGCGGCAAGAGGAAAGATCTTCAGCTCCAGAGGGAAGGAAGCAGCCTGCGGGCAGATGCTTTGTCTGGCTGCTTCTCTCTCCACGCCTGGCGGTTGTTCCGCTCGCGGTGCTCTCCTGCTCCGGACACTGCCCCCACACCGTGCAGCGCTCTCTGCCCGGCTCCTGGGAGACACTCCTCCTTGCACCTCCTCTTCATCCCTTACTGTACCTCGCCGCAGCCATCTTCGCTCCCCTCTGCAGCAGCTGCAGCTCGTGTGATGTCATCAGCCACCAGCCAGCCAAGTCCAAACCAAAAAAACAAAATCCGCTTGATGAGCAGCCAGAGGCAGCAGCAGCAGCAAACTTTGGGATTCAGCCCCTTTCCTCCTCCCGCCCCTGCTGTAAATTGCCAACCGATGGGCAGCCATCGCCTCGGTGTCAGCAGCAGCAGCAGCATTAAAACAGGGCATTTCTGTGATGCAGGAGCTGGAGGTGCACAGCACGGTGCAATGCTGCAAGATCCGCTCAAGCGGGGGGGCCCCTCCATGTTCCAGGGCAGGACTGCAGCTAGGTGCTGCTGATCCATCGGCACCGCCTCGCTCGCTCGCTGCTCTCAGTGGTGTACAAGCCGGCGGAAAAATCCCCCTTGCTGCTGGTGCCGCCGCCTCCTTCTCGTCTGCTGAGTCATGGACTGAAGTCCTCTCCCCACTAACTCACTAGCACATCGCAGCAGCGCTGTGTGTGTCGGCTGCAGCCATTCCGGATCCTGATTTCAGGAGCGCACGGACCAGGGATCCTGCTGCCTAGATAAGAAGCCTGCCCGGCGTTCCTCTCTGAGCTCCAGGCTCAGCCCCGCACACACGCACTGGAACCATGATCGCCGCCGCGTTCCTGGTTTTGCTGCGACCTTACAGCATCCAATGTGCCCTCTTCTTGCTCATGCTCCTGCTGGGGACCATTGCTACGATTTTATTCTTCTGCTGCTGGCACCGCAAGCTCCAGAAAGGGAGGCATCCTATCAAATCCGTCCTTTCAGGGCGCTCAAGGAGCCGAGGTAAGAGATGCGGTGCCTTCCTTTCCAAGGCAGGAGGAATCTAGGCTCTTTAAATACAAATATATCCCGCTCTCCCCTCCCAGGTGGGCTCATTTTCTGCCTTGGATTTTGTTTCTAAAACGACCGCATAGAGCGCCTTAGCCTCAGTTTATTAGGGCAAAGGCTTTAGAGAATTCAAGCTGAGTCCAGGACTGCGGCAGCCTAGTCTCCACCCATCCCTTAACGAAATCTCAGCTGGTGGGAGGAAAGTAAGGGACGCGAACCCCCTGATTTCTCAAGTACACCAGAACTTCACCATCCACTTCTAGCAGATGAATTAAATATAAACGCCTGAGGCGGCTGCAAGTTGGGCTTGGAGACTCAGATCTCACTAAAGAATCTGCATAAAACAACAAGTACTGAAATCAAACTCGTTAACTTAAGTGAATCTGAAACTGAGCCAGATGCAGTCCTATCTATGTCTTTCTCTTTTCCTTCCAGATGCTGTAATGAGAACTCATCACTGTCGCTCCGAGGTAATTTATTTAGCACGCAATTTCAAGGTCAGAAGAAGTTCTCTTACATGAGTACAAATTGTTAAAGTCTTTATCATTTGTGCACTTTTTATTTTGCACGAAAATCCCTATTTTGCACGAAAATCCCTATTTTTCACTGAAGCCTTTCACAGAGCATGCTAGTGCTTCATTTAATATTAATTGATATTATTTAATATTATTTGGCCTATTTAATGATCACTAAAGCAATTGCTTACTTAAATAAGAGCATTGTTTGTTTTAGGTGCCTGTAATAAGAATGATAGGTAAATACATAAAAAACAGTTGATGCAGGCAATATGGAGATATGCATGGCTGGTACATATTGACCTAACAGAGCTTCCATTTCTTTGCTGTATTGTCAGCGATCACCTGTGTTTTGCTGACTTGCTATTTCAGAGCTGTCCGCTTCACTTGAAAACTCAGTTGGAGCTGAAGATCAGTACTTCAAGTTAGGAATAAGACTTGACAAAATTTTATTTTCAGACACCATAATTGTATATTAATAGGTCAAGGGTCTCCCACCTCTCCTGTTTTAATGGTAAAGAAATTCAGAAAGAGTTGGTTTCCTCTAGCCTGTGGGCACCAATTCAGATATATCTTGAGGGAGGGAGGGAAATTCTGTTTCTGGCCCACCTCCACATAGGGAACCAGGACAGAGAGTTTCCCTCAGACAGAGCGTTTCCCCTCTCTTTTATCCACACAGTGCATGGGCCAGTGCTGCCAGCAGCTGAGTTCTCAGCAGAGTCCCCTCTTCTCTGCTTTACAGGAACAGACTCCCCACGTGCTAGGTTGCAACTCCAGTTGGCCCAGCTACCCTTCCATCTGGATAAGAGGGGCAATCAGGCCAAATTTGAGTGGTCTTGCAACCTTGTTCATCAGATCGCACCACTGCTCATGGAAATTAGGCCTGGCTGCCCTTCCTTTTGTACAAAGGGACAGTCAGGTCACATTTCAGTGGCGCTGTGTCCATGCAGCCGCAGCAATGCTCCAGATTATTCCAACAGCAGCCGTACTGATTTAGTATGGGACTACTGTTTACAAGTGGTCAGGCCATGGCCCCTCTGGCTCTGTGGCCTAGGGAATGTTGAGCAAGCACTCCCCCACACCCCAGTTGGTGCCAGGGCTCTAACCACAAACAAGGAACATTTTTAGAATAAGGAAAATAATATTATCCCTAAAGCTATTCTCTCTGTACTTCACTGTAAGGCTTCTGCCTAGAATCTTCCCCAGTTCCTCTCCTGCCTGACTTCCTGCTACAGATTTAAAGAAACAGTAGACATAGATTCATACCCACTTCTGAAGGTACTTGTTGGTTTGGAGCTCCAGAAAGAGTTTTGCATGGACAGATCTATTTTCGTGTTTACATCCCCCCCCCCACACACACACATTAAAAACATGGGTAAAATTTTCAAAAGTGCCTAGGTCTCTTTTTCATGAAACTTGGATTTCTAATTCATATAGCCCTGGTCTACACTTACAGCTAGGTCAATCTAATTTTTATCACTCAGGGCTGTGAAAAGTATAGCACCCTGAGTGCTGTAGTTAGGCTGACCTACCCCATGTAGCTGCAGCTAGGTCAACAGAAGAATTCTTCTGTCAACCTAGCTATCGCCTCTTGGAGAGGTGGATTAATTATGTTGACGGGAAAACCCCTTCTGTCGATGTAGGAAGCGTCTACACTATGGTGCTACAATGGCACTGCTGCAGGGCTGTAGGTATGCCTCTGCAGTGGCTGTAGCTTAGACATACCTTTAAGTGCTTTTGGAGGCATTGGGTAATTTTCTCAAAAGAAGGTCATTTGGGGAATGTAGTTAGTAGGGGAGGCCTCTTCTGTTTACACTATAGAAGTTCATCTTTGCTGCTAGTGTGACAAGACAATCAGTTCTGTATTAAAACAGGAACCAAGTCCCACTGGAAGATAAACATTTTCACCTGGCTTCTTTCCCACCCAGTGAAATGATTGGTCTCCATGTAAACGTATATCTCCCAGCTAAGACTGGAGACTGGGTAGGAACTTCTTTAATGTCTTACACTGAATTGAGAGATGTCTTTTCAGTTTCAACGGAATGAACTTACTATCTTCTCTGTTACAATGGAAATATGAAGGTTTTCAAGGGGTTGTAAGCACTACAGTAATACAAATAATCATAATAATACACAGTGTAAAATCAAAACAACAAGGAATCCTTGTGGCACCTTAGAGACTAACAAATTTATTTGGGCATAAGCTTTCGTGGGCTAGAACCCACTTCATCAGATTGTTAGTCTCTAAGGTGCCACAAGGACACCTTGTTGTTTTTGCTGATACAGACTAACATGGCTACCCCTCTGAAACCTGTCACAGTGTAAAGTGTTTAATGCTATTTTGTTAACCCTGCTGTGTCTATTTGTATTCTACCTCATGCACAAACTTCATATTTTAAAATGTCCTCTAACTTTTACTTTACTGGAATCTCATTAGCTGGAATATGAAAAGTTGTATTTTTTTACTCCTTTCTATATATGTTATAATTCAACATCACCATCACTACTGTTCAACATTATGTTTGTCAGTAGAAATGCTGTTTTTTCCTCTTTATCAGATTAAATTGACCTGAGATTTTGTAAACTGAATTAAATTTAGGATTCTTAGAGAAATAAGTTGATTAATTTGACATCATGAAATGACACTATTTTAAAAATGTGTTTGAAAATAAATATTTATTTTAAAGAATATTAAAAATTTCTGAATTACAAAATATAATAAGGATCCTTGCACAAACATTAGCAATGCCATATAAAACAAAGTTTAGCATTCTCATTAGTTTAGCAAAGTTTAGCATTTTGTACTATAGCACAAAATATTATGGACTTTATATCAATTCATATAAAATCTGACAAAAGACAAAGAATCGTATTTGGAAAGTTGGAGTTTGTAGTTTCTTGCCCAAAAAGTGACTGTAAAGTCATGCTGCTGTGGTTATAATTTTCTACTGCTATGGCTGGCTGGTTCTAGTTGTGATTAGTTATATACACCTCTACCCCGATATAACACGAATTCGGATAGAACACGGTAAAGCAATGCTCGGGGGCGGAGGGGGCTGCACACTCCAGTGGATCAAAGCAAGTTCTATATAACGCAGTTTCACCTATAACATGGTAAGATTTTTTGGCTCCCGAGGACAGCGTTATATCGAGGTAGAGCTGTATTAAACATAGCTATATTTGCCTTAATAAATGAGGAAGAAAGACAGGATCTGTGGTAAATAGCAGAATGGGTTTACGCATTAGTTATTCACCTTCTGAGATCTACATTCAAATGTGACTTACGTCAGACATGAACATGCATTTGGTGGTCTAATTGTAGTCCTTCAAGAATGATGATTACCATAATCACAGAACTATTGGCAATTTTTGCATGATTGGCAGTCTGCCAGGAGAGACTCAGATTTGGAAAAATGGGTGTTGCAAATCAGTATTGAAGTTCATTGTCAGGACTATAGCTTGCATGGTATATGCC